CGATCCTGGGGACAAGCAGGGGGTAGGGGGTAGTACCAGGAAGATCCAAGTGGAAATTGCTCTTGCCTTCCAGCCGAGTCTCAAAGTTGTTTGTGGGACTGAACTTAAACCCTAACTAAACCCACCACCGTCTCGGATCCTTTACTCAAGTTTAAGGCTGATAGTCACTTGAGTGTCCGAGGGCGCCCGCAACATGAATCCGGGCCCTGAGTCCGGGACGGCCCGGGCCCCGGCGCCGAACTAAGTTCCGAAGATCCCCCCGGCCCGGAACCCGGCCGGCCGCGACTGTCGGCGGCGGACGGTGACCAGACGGTACGGACTTTGACTCAGTGACGGTTCAAGTTCCCGGGCCGGCGGGCCGCCGCCCGCTCTGACTCGTCGGCCCGCCTGGCACAGCGATCACTGGACATCGCTGGCATTGCGCGGGAGAATGGTTCTGCGCATAATCAACATTATCGTACTGCTGATTAACTTAACTTTGAGTATAGTAACTTAAGAAACGGCGACCGCTGGAGCCTAGGAGGGACTATTGTACGCCGCCGGGGCCCGGCGGCGTAGTGACTGTGACGCCGGTCACCGGCCCGGCACCGGCACAGCGGCGGCGCCGGGCCGCCCGGCTGGGCAACTCCCCGGGCCGCGGCGGGCAGGCCGCCCCCGGGACTCCGCCGCACTGGCTACCGTACCGTCACTGGGTACCGTAGTACAGTACGGTGCCAAAGTCCGATCCCCGGACCGCGCGCCTCCCGCCGCCTCAACCGTGGCTCCGACAATCATGAGTCTCTGCTTGAGCCTCTGAGTCTTCCCGCTTCACTCGCCGTCACTAGGGGGATCCTTGTTAGTTTCTCTTCAGGCTCAGACGGCTCAAACTGTGTCAGTTCGCTGCTGCCATGATGGCTGAATAGAGTCAGCGGCCCCTCCCCTCAGGCCTCATTCAACTTGTTTCTCTATGTATTGAGTAGCGCAGTCACGTTAAGAGCTCAAAGATGACTTCCAACCTTGCAGGCTCGGGGCACTACTGTCCCTGACCGCTCGTCCTCAAAGTCCTGCAGAGCTCTGCTGCTCTCCTAGTCTCGCTGCCTTGTCGCTCGGTCCGACGGTCACCATTCTAGGACTCTCGGCTCTACACGTTGGCTCATCCTCGAGAGCATGTAGTCTCGATGAGCGTCCAGAAAGGTCCTGGTGCAGACAGCCTGGCTGATGTCTTGCGCCTGCTGCTCCTTGGCATCTGAGAGCCGCTCGGAGCATGACAGGAGCCAGGGAGGCACGTCCATGCCCATGAGGACGCAAGCTTGCTTCTGCATCTCCAGGCGAGCAAGATCCACGTCGATGACGTGGCACTGACAGTCGATCATGCGGCGCTGACGCTCGACGTAGTCAACCGGGGCTTCACGTGTCTCCCTCCTCATCTTCTCCTGCGCGTCCAAGAGGCTGCGCTTGGCGGCCCGGTACTTGAGGTACTGCTTGGAGGGGTCCGAGCAGACTCGGAGGGCTGCGTCCTTGCTGATGGGGCTGCGACTGCTGTCGCGGACTTGACGGAGCACAAAGGAGCAGGCGATCCTCTCTTGCTCAACCTCCCGCTGCATATCCTGCAGTCTCCTCATCTCCGCTCTGCGTCTGACCTCGCGGGGGTCGAAGTATCTGAGCATGAAGGGCTCGCGCCGCTCCAGCATTGCGGAGATCCGCTGCGAGTCCGCTCTCTTCCTGTCCTCGTCGACAGGCTGGCCGGGAGCCAAGTGCCTGTGCGCGTACTCGACTAGGCTGCTCTCGATAGGCGACTCGACTCCGCGGTACTTGTCGATGACGTCCTTGATGGCAGGCTGTAGCTCCTCAGAGAACGACAGCAGGTCTGGCTTCCCCTGACAGCTGCTGTGGAAGTGGTCGATCGTTGGTTTGAGGCACCTCCAGCAGAACTCGTGCCGGCACTTCCTGCACGTCATGTGGTCGCATCCTCCCATCTTGACGATGCGGTACCCGCACTTGGTGCAGGGCTTGGAGGTCCTTGCGATCTCCTCCTGGTCACTGCGAGCCTCTGCTCGGGCCTCCTCGCGCTCTTCGCCGCTGGCGATCCTGCTAATCCTCGCCTTCAGGGAGGTGAGAAAAGCTTTATCGCACATGCTGTGGATGTCTTGAAGGCTCAGCGACGTCGTCGCCTCCGGCGGAGCACGGTGCTGCGGGTCCTCTACCGCCGGGTTGCGGATCATGCCCTCGAGCGTCTGTCGCGTGCTGTCGAACAGCTCACGCTTCTGCTCGACGATCCGCAGACGCGCATCGAGCAGTTCGACGGCGACCTTGTCGGCAGGACGAGCATGGAGCTGCCGGGAAATGGCGGAGATCTCTAGCTCCTCCCTCCTCTTGATGCTGCTGAGCCGGTCTCGCATGCCTTGCATAGTCTGCTGCAGCTCCTCGTCCACGTAGTCGCCTTCCTCCTCAAATCTCCTCATCCTCCAGCGCACGTGTTCATGGAGCTCAAGGCGTTCCTCGCCCTCCAGTCGGTCTTCCCCCCTGTACAGATCCATCCAAAGTAGTCGTGCTCGCAGCCGGGGGTCTTGCTGGGCTTCAGTGTCTCTGTCTGCCTGCTCGGTCCCTTGCGCCTCGACCTCCTGCGTCCTCGTGTCTGCTGCCGCCACATGCGTTTGACTGCCGTCAACTGTGGGCGGGCGAGGGTCGCGGGCGGCGGGCGGCGGGCGAGGGTACCGTCTGAGCGCTGCGGGAGGGTCGCGCAGTCTCATTCGTCTCAGCTCATCACCCGTCGCATCGTACACCTGATCGAGAGCTCGCAACCCCTCCTCAGTCAGGACTCGCTGCTCGCAGTCGACGAGAATGTGGGAGGGAACCAAGCTTCCGGACGCCATCGAGCAAGCAGCGCAGTAGGTGGCCATGCAGCTGTCGCACTTGACCGTAGCCTCGCTCGCCGCATGTCCAATCAACACCAGCCTCGAGACGGCCTGGCAGCAAGGGGACAAGCAGGGCAGGTGACCCAACTTCCAAGCGTCGTACTTGCTCTTCTTGCTATGGTAAGCCTTGAGCAGACGCTGCGCTTGCTCATCGTCAGCGTAGATGAGGAGCAGAGCTTGGATGTTGTAGCCGACTATGGTGCTGCATCCGGGATGAGGGCAGGTAGGGGGCACCAGGGACTCTTGCTCGTCATGGAGGACGTGCTCAAGCAGCCTCTTGAAGCAAGAGGCATGGAACATGTGACGGCAGGTCAAGCTCACCTTGTTGCTCATGTCAAAGTCTGTCTCCTGGCAGATCACGCAGAAGTACTCGCGGCCTGACCCCTCCTCCTCCTCCTCGTCGTCGTTCTCGTCGATATGCTGCTGAGAGGAGCATGTGTTGCAGTCCACAAAGCGCTGGCTGAGGAGGTCTGTCATCTTACCAGAGTCTCCGCACGTCTGATCCCATATGCTGCGAGCGCGCGTCAGTGAGCTTCTCATACCAGCACATGCAAGGATCAGGTACCTCGCAGCATCCTCGCTGCAGACCTCCTGCAGGAACTCGTACTTCCGTTTCATTGGCATCACAGCCAGAGTTTCGGAGCTGCTCGGAGCAGACATGGAGGAGGAAGAGTCTTTCTGATCGCAAATGCAAGTAGGAGAGCTATGAAGATCTTGATGAAAGAAGAGCCGAAGATAGGGAAGGGAGGGAGATGTAGAGGGAGGGAGGGAGCTCGAGCAGGGGGTTTGCTTGGAGCGGGAAGCAGGTTGGGGGATATGCCAAGGGAAACTGTAGGTAAGAAATGGTGGGTCTAGAGGGGTGGGGTGAGAGATATGTAGGGGTGGGGGGTGTGAAGAGACGGGAGGTAGGTAGTTGATTGAGGCAAGGTAAGGAGGTAGGGTATTTTTGCAGTCAGCGCAAGGTGATGTTTCCACAGGTATATATAGGCAAGAGAATAAGGAGAACGAAGGAGCGTTCCTGGGGACAAGTAGGGGGTAGGGGGTAGTACCAGGAAGATCCAAGTGGAACTTGCTCTTGTGGTCAAGTTGTTTGTGGGACTGAACTTGAACCCTAACTAAACCCACCACAGATGGTACTTGTGTCTCGGATCCTTTACTCAAG